TTAGGGTTTAGGGTTTAGGGTTTAGGGTTTAGGGTTTAGGGTAACATCAAAGCAGCGTCAATGCATAGCAAGGCGAAGGCCAGAGAGAAAGTTTTGGAGGCTCCTGTGCAGCCTCATATTTTCAGTGAGCTGCGCTGTGCCGCGCCCACCGCCAGAATGGCCACAATGTGCCACGCCAGCAGCCCATCTGTTCAGTTCTAGGCTCTAGCTGGTATGAAACCCAAGAAAGCACGAATGTAACTCGCACTAGAACCGTTCAGTCTTGCGAATTTGATAGCCATACGATAAAGTCTTTAGCAGAAAAAAATAGGGTTCTTTAGCGCTCCATACTAACCGAAATCTACAGGGAATAAGGGGACCCTTTTACTAAATCAGACCGAGATGGTGCCTTGGAGGATCCAAAGAAGGTCCCTGAAGCTCTAAGCGAGGGTGGCAACCCGGTTAACTGGGTTGTGGTTTTGGGGTCCTTCAAAGTATTTATGAGTAGGTACCTCCATAGGAGCTGCAAGGGCAAGTTTAAAGTTACCCAAAGTGCCACCTAGTTAATGATAAGCCCTAAAACCTTGGGGACTAAATTACCCTTATAAGTAGAGCCCCTATAATTACCCTTATACTATGAATCCCTATATGGTATCTGAACCTGAAACCCTTTTGAGGTTCATTTCGTCCTTAAGGAATAAAACATCCCAAACCACAGAGACTGACATCTTGCACCCTCAACCTCCTAAACTCTAAACCCTAAACCCTAAAGCCGAATAACTAAAAGCGCTGAGCCCCGGTACAGCCTTTACAACGGTACTGGTATCAAACTCACTCAACCTTCGGCTATAGAAGCCTGAAAACTTCGCCATATTCAAGTCCCCTAAATTTAAGGAACCCTCCGAAACCTCCTCTGCTGTATTCGCCCCCCCAAACCCTATAAACCCTAAACCCAAAGTATTTAGCCCGCTATATTAGTGAAGCACACCTGCTCCTCTGTTTTGGCGGGATCTTCCATCACATGTCTCGTGTGCCCACCCTGCGCGAGACATCGGTTCCGGGACTGAGGTTTAGAGTTTAGGGCCTTTGATTTTGGTATCTGGGGGTTTAGGGTTTCTGGTTGGGGGTTTCGGCTTGCAGATGTAGGGTCAGCTAAAGCTTCCTTAAGGTTTGGAGTAGTTCAGAGTTCAAGGTGTAGGTTTAGGGTAACTTATGCGATGAAGGTCTATACGGAGTTGGTTCACAGAGCTAAGGATGGTTCGATTGAAGGTTCCTTCGGCATTACGAGGGTTTAGGGTTTAGAGTTTAGGCTTTACCAGGGTCCTTGCCCTAAACCCTAAACCCTAAACCCTAAAATCTAGTTTAGGGGCAGAGAGAGCCTAGGGCCTTCAGTCTAAGCTTTCGGGTTTAGGGTTTTGGGAGCTGTTGGTTGGATTAGGGTTTAGGGCTTAGGGTTTAAGGTTTAGGGTTTAGGGTTTAGGGTTTAGGGATTAGCATGGATTAGTGATTAGGGTTTAGGGCTTAGGGTTTAGGGTTTAAGGCTGTTCCAGAAGACCAGTAGGTGGTCGACGGGTGCGCAGGAAGATTGCCGGACATAGAATGTAGCACGGAGAGCTCAATACGTAAAAAAGGGGTCGAGTTCTGGGAGAAACCATTGCCCGGGACATGTCCACGAACCCAAACCCTAGTATGCGAGTCTGAATGCTTGACGATACTATTCCACAGCTCCGACCGGTGCATTGAAGAAAATCATGGAAAATCCTTGAACCCCTCAACTCTGAAAAACTCTCATTACCACTTATTCCGATCCCTATATCCAACTAAATCCCCCAACACCAACGCACAAAGGACGCTCATTGCTTGCACTGATTTCCGACCCCTTTCTCTTGAAACGGCGTGCACCCTGAGTTCTAAAATTTTCAAGTCTGCTCCACCCTAAACCCTAAACCGGCGAGCCTGATAGTGCGTAAGTGCCTGCACAGCCTTCAAAAGAGGCGCAACCTGTGCGAATGGGGGACAGGGAGGTGGGCAGAAAGCCCAAACAGGCCTTGGACCGTCAGGGTTTAGGGTTTAGGGTTTCCAAAACGATGGAAACGAATAGAACCCTGCACAACACGGCACGAAGCTAAGCGCTGTAGACGCCAACACAGCGCCGAACAACCCAAATACCAAAATCAGCGCCCGACGCAAGGCCTAAGGGGTCCGGGTGGTGTCCAGAGTCTCGCGCTTCAGCTAAAATTGGAGGTTCATGGGTAGTAATAAGTGGGGTTATAAGTCCCCTAATATGGGTTGTAACTATAGTTACCCTACTTATAACCCCACCCATAACTACCCATGAACCTCCAAGAACACAGCAGCCCTCAAGAAGCACACTAGGGCTTCAAGGTGTTTTTACAACGTAAGTATAAATACGGAGGCCTTAATCAGTAGGGCTTCGGTGTTTACTGCACACAAAGATATATCGGGTTTAGGGTTTAGGGACAAGGATATACAACAGCGAAGAACACCAGAAAGTTGGATTGACTTAGGAGGACTACTGTAGTGCTAGGAGTCCCTATACTCTTAGCTTACGGGCACGAGGAGAATGATGTTCCAACTTTTTGGCTTCTACTATATACTACTCCTAATTATTACGACGCCAGTGCTATAGCATTACCGGCTTGGGATGTTGGGAAATATTGCCCCGGCGGCACTGTCAAAACCAACAATATAAGATAACCGCCACACTTAAGATCGCAAAAAGTCGCAACCCCATTCCTACCAACAGAAGGAATCAGAATGGCACAGTCGCAGCGGCCGCAATGCTTTTGAGCTTATCCCGTGCAGCAGCGTTTCTGCCGCGGTGAGACTGCCTCTGGCTGCGGGCGCTTCGAATTGTGAAGCCTTCGGGTTAGTCCAGGAGAGAATAACCCTAAACCCTAAACCCTAAACCCTCAAAACCGAAAACCCTAAACATCCCAGCCCAAGGAGTAAAAGGATACCTCTACCCTGGGCTCGAGTCTGAGATTGCTCAGAAAAAACCCAGCGAGATACAAACGCCGAAAACTGTTGGTATAGGGATGAAACCCTTCGGCGCAAACCCAACGGGGGTTAGGGTTCAGGGTTGAGGGTTGAGGGTTGAGGGTTTAGGGTTTAGGGTTTAGGGTTTGGGGTTTAGGGTTTAGGGTTTAGGGTTCAGGGTTTTGGCTTTGGTGACAAGGTTCGTTTATGTTGAGGTTTCCACCAAAGTAGTTTGAGGACCGATCCTGGTCCTGTGGATTCTCTTGGGTCGGGGTGTAGGCTGGGGTTTAAGCTATTTTCGGGGCCGCAAAAGTTACTAAGTTGGAACCCTAAACCCTAAACCCTAAACCCTAAACCCTAAACCCTAAACCCTAAACCCTAAACCCTAAACCCTAAACCCTAAACCGCTGTTGGGGAACATTCCAGTATAACTATGGCTATGGCAAGGAACCCTAGGCCGGCCTCTCTAGTAGAGGGGCCTTAACAATTAGAATAGGGTTTGGGGCCCATTCTACTATCATTATAATAAGGAACCCCCGAAGGAACCCCCAAAATAGTATTCGCAATTTAGTTAGGCCCCTACAGTATGCGGCTCCGGCAATGGACCCAATGACCTTGCAATGACTGCAAACTCGAAGCCCTGAACCCTACTTGGAGGTTCATGGCGAGTGATAAGTTGGGTTATAAGCCCCCTAATAGGAGTTATAGTCATAGCTACCCTACTTATAACCCCACTTATAACTGCCCCTAAACCCTAAACCCTAAACCCTATAGAACCCTTTAAAGGAACCCTTTAAAGGAACCCCACTTATGACTGCCCCTAAACCCTAAACCCTAAACTCTATAGAACCCTTTAAAGGAACCCTTTAACCCTAAACCCTAAACCCTAAACTCTATAGAGCCCTTTAAAGGAACCCTTTAAAGGGAACCCCACTTATAACTGCCCCTGAAACCCTAGACCCTAAACTCTATAGAACCCTTTAAAGGAACCCCTTAAAGGGAACCCCACTTACAACTACCCCTAAACCCTAAACCCTGTAGAACCCTTTAAAGGAACCCTTAGTTAAAGGAACCCCACTTATAACCACCCCTAAACCCTAAACCCTATAGAGCCCCTTAAAGGAGCCTATAACTGCCCTTGAACCTCCAAGTGCACCCTGAACTGCATTCCCGTCGCATTCCCTGGGGCGCAATGCTCAGAGCTGAGGTTTCGGGGGTTGAGTGTTCTCAAGTCCTCTCTGAACCGTTACATCTTTATCTGGTGGTTTAGGGTTTAGGGCTTAGGCTTTAGGGTTTAGGGTTTAGGGTTTAGGGTTTAGGGTTTAGGGTTTAGGGTTTAGGGTTTAGGGTTTAGGGTTTAGCGTTTAGTGTGGTGACGGTGTATTTGCGGCAATGCCCACACAACCTCAGAAGGGCTTTGGGCGAAAATCCTGAACCCCGCGAGCCCCACCCCTATAACCCCTATAACCCCTATAATATACCCTATAACCCGTATTTAGGGTTTAGGGTTTAGGGTTAACCCCTATAACCCCTATAGCCCCTGACCCCGAGACCCTAAACCCTAACCTTGAACCCTGAGCCACAAGACCCGAGCCCCAACACCGTTCCATATGGGGGGTTTCCGAAAATAGGGGACCCTAATATAGTACCCTACAGTAGGATCCGAATTATAAGGACCCCAAAATAAGGTACCCCATATTTTCGGAAACTCCCATATTAAGTAAGGCAGCAGTATTATGGCTAATTTTGACTCTACTTGATACTATGATTACTCGTAGTAGTGGTAGCAGTAGTCGTCGTAGTAGTAGTAGCAGTAGTAGTAGGTCGTCCTCTTGATATCATTATTAGTTCTTATAGTCTCCATTGTAGTTCCTTTTTGGGGATACCTCAAAAACTCCTTAATATGTAATTGGTTGACCCAAAAAAGGAACTACAATGGAAACTAAACCCTAAACCCTAAACCCTAAACCAATAACCCTAAAATTATTACTACTATTCTTCCTATTGCTAAGATCTGCGCGTCAGTCGTTGACCTCTTCAAAGAGCTCCCAAGGGGAGATGTCTCTCCACCTTTTTGGATTTAGGGCTCGGGGTTTAGGGTTTAGGGTTTAGGGCTGTCTCTCCACCTCTTTGGAGTTAGGGCAAAAGGGGTTTTACAGGTGGTTCATACTGCAGTACAGAGGCTCCTCTAACCCTAAACCCTAAGCCTTAAGCCCCAAACCCTAAACCCTAAACCACAAAACCCTAAACCCTAAAACCCAAAACGGTTCTATACAGATTTGGGGTTACGGGTTTTCGGGAGTAGAGGCTTCAGGTGGGAAGCCATGAGGGTTCAGGGCTTTGGCGTGCAGGGTTTTGGGGCTTAGGGTTTAGGGTTCAGGGTTTTTGGGGTTGAGGGT